AAAGTAGATTTTTTTTTTTTTTTTTACATTTGAAAACGTGTAAAAAACTTTGATCTTTTTTTTTTTTGTTATATTTGAAAATATTGTAGGTAGTAGGTTGGTAGACAGCAACCGCCCAGGGAGGTACTACCGTCCTGCCAAGTGAGTGTAAAGCGAAAGCCTGTAATTGTTTTACATGATGGTAGGATTGCTGATGTCTTTTGTCTGTCTCATAAACGTGCAAGATTTCAGGTATGTCTTGCTACTTCTACTTACACTTAGGTCACACTACACATACATGTACAAGCATATATATACACACCCCTCTGGGTTTTCTTCTATTTTCTTACTAGTTCTTGTTCTTGTTTATTTCCTCTTATCTCCATGGGGAAGTGGAATAAAATTCTTCCTCCGTAAGCCATGCGTGTTCGTAAGAGGCAACTAAAATGCCGGGAGCAAGGGGCTAGTAACCCCTTCTCCTGTATATATTACTAAATTTAAAAGGAGAAACTTCAGTTTTTTCTTTTGGGCCACCCCGCCTCGGTGGGATACGGCTGGTACGTTGAAAGAAGAAAGAGAAGATTTGAAAATATGTAAAAAAAAAAGTAGATCTACTTTTGGAGCACTACACATGTGAACGTAGATCTGCTTGGACCGTTTACGGGTTAATGGAGGGGTTTGGGATATTGGCAGTTTGGAGGGACATCTAAACTGTCGTATCTGAGCGCCTCTGAAAAAACAATGATAATGTGTGAGTGTGGTGAGAGTGTTGAATGATGATGAAGTATTTTCTTTTTGGGGATTTTCTTTCTTTTTTGGGTCACCCTGCCTCGGTGGGTCACCCTGCCTCGGTGGGTCACCCTGCCTCGGTGGGTCACCCTGCCTCGGTGGGTCACCCTGCCTCGGTGGGTCACCCTGCCTCGGTGGGTCACCCTGCCTCGGTGGGTCACCCTGCCTCGGTGGGTCGCCCTGCCTCGGTGGGTCGCCCTGCCTCGGTGGGTCGCCCTGCCTCGGTGGGTCGCCCTGCCTCGTGGTCGCCCTGCTCTGGGTCGCCGCCTCGGGGTCGCCCGCCTCGGTGGGTCGCCCTGCCTCGGTGGGTCGCCTGCCTCGGGGTGCCGCTCGGTGGGTCGCCCTGCCTCGGTGGGTCGCCCTGCCTCGGTGGGTCGCCCTGCCTCGGTGGGTCGCCCTGCCTCGGTGGGTCACCCTGCCTCGGTGGGTCACCCTGCCTCGGTGGGTCACCCTGCCTCGGTGGGTCACCCTGCCTCGGTGGGTCACCCTGCCTCGGTGGGTCACCCTGCCTCGGTGGGTCACCCTGCCTCGGTGGGTTACCCTGCCTCGGTGGGAGACGGCTGACTTGTTGAAAAAAAAAAATACACAAAACAACCAATGTGAAAAAATAGTGAACTTCCAAGGGCTTTCAGGATATTTTACATTATCAGGGAACTTAATACAGCCTCTCCTCACTTAGCGACGTACTCATTTAACGATGTGGTCTTACGAACGGAACTCCATCGTTAAGTAACAAGAGGCATAAGTAATAATAATCTCCATTGGGAAGTAGAACAGAATTCTTCCTCTGTAAGCCATGAGTGTCGTAAGAAGCGACTAAAATGCCAGGAGCAAGAGGCTAGTAACCCCTTCTACTGTATATATTACCTAATTTAAAAAGGGAAACTTTCGTTTTTCTTTTTAGGTCACGTTGCCTTGGTGGGATATGGCCGGTTTGATGAAAAAAAAAAATAACAGTAACAATGACCTCATAAAAAATAGTCAATACTTAATTTATGAAAAATATAAGATTTAACATAGCCATTTTTACTGAAACTGCTGATATCATTAATGGGAAGAATGTGTCTGATGAGTGTCAACAAGGTCACTAATATTGGTTGGTGATTGGTGAGCTTTAGTGGTAAGTCACCACGATCTTCCAGGTTCAGTTTGTTCCTATGCTTAGAACTGCATTTGCACAGTTAAAACCAGCTTCAACCATGCACTGACCCTCCAGCCATTTGTCAACCCCTTCGATAGCCAGAATGATCCTTAGGGGTCGATACCGACCAATTTGAGGAACCCTGCAGTAAGTTATACATTCTCTTTGTTTTATGCTTTTGTAAATGCGACTGAAAAAGTGCACCAAAACTGAATAGCCGGTGGACAGGCCTTCATAGTATGCACTATTCAGTTTTAGATGTAGTTTTTGCAACCACATTTACAAAAAAAATCACTCTCTCTAGAGGAGCTTTGTAAAAGAGATGCAACTAAATAACAGTCCCACTCACTTGTGCACACATGCAAGCACTGCTACATATACACGTGAAAAATAATCACAGTGAAAAAACAAAACCACTTGGGATTTCACTGTTTTTCACTATGGTTATTTTGCATATTTAGATATCATATTTTACGGTGATCTTATTACATATAAACACGTATACACAATGTACATATATAATTATAAGAAAGTGTGGGGCTTAATGTATTTAACACGTTGTTTTGATTCTAATAATAATAAAATTAATGCATTTGATACAACAATCCTTGGAAGTTCAATCTCGTACTGCAAATGTAATCAATCACTGAAAGCATCGCTTTTAGGATGACTTGATAAATCCCAGTGTGTGGTCAAAATATTGACTTGATAAATCCCAGTGTATGGTCAAAATGTTGATTTGATAAATCCCAGTGTGTGGTCAAAATATTGACTTGATAAATCCCAGTGTGTGGTCAAAATGTTGACTTGATAAATCCCAGTGTGTGGTCAAAATGTTGATTTAATAAATCCCAGTGTGTGGTCAAAATGTTGACTTGATAAATCCCAGTGTGTGGTCAAAATATTGACTTGATAAATCCCAGTGTGTGGTCAAAATATTGACTTGATAAATCCCAGTGTGTGGTCAAAATATTGACTTGATAAATCCCAGTGTGTGGTCAAAATGTTGACTTGATAAATCCCAGTGTGTGGTCAAAATATTGACTTGATAAATCCCAGTGTATGGTCAAAATGTTGACTTGATAAATCCCAGTGTGTGGTCAAAATATTGACTTGATAAATCCCAGTGTGTGGTCAAAATATTGACTTGATAAATCCCAGTGTGTGGTCAAAATGTTGACTTGATAAATCCCAGTGTGTGGTCAAAATATTGACTTGATAAATCCCAGTGTGTGGTCAAAATGTTGAATTGATAAATCCCAGTGTGTGGTCAAAATATTGACTTGATAAATCCCAGTGTGTGGTCAAAATATTGACTTGATAAATCCCAGTGTGTGGTCAAAATGTTGACTTGATAAATCCCAGTGTGTGGTCAAAATATTGACTTGATAAATCCCAGTGTGTGGTCAAAATGTTGACTTGATAAATCCCAGTGTGTGGTCAAAATATTGACTTGATAAATCCCAGTGCATGGTCAAAATGTTGACTTGGTAAATCCCAGTGTGTGGTCAAAATATTGACTTGATAAATCCCAGTGTGTGGTCAAAATGTTGACTTGATAAATCCCAGTGTGTGGTCAAAATGTTGACTTGATAAATCCCAGTGTGTGGTCAAAATATTGACTTGATAAATCCCAGTGTGTGGTCAAAATATTGACTTGATAAATCCCAGTGTGTGGTCAAAATGTTGACTTGATAAATCCCAGTGTGTGGTCAAAATATTGACTTGATAAATCCCAGTGTGTGGTCAAAATGTTGACTTGATAAATCCCAGTGTGTGGTCAAAATATTGACTTGATAAATCCCAGTGTATGGTCAAAATGTTGACTTGGTAAATCCCAGTGTGTGGTCAAAATATTGACTTGATAAATCCCAGTGTGTGGTCAAAATGTTGACTTGATAAATCCCAGTGTGTGGTCAAAATATTGACTTGATAAATCCCAGTGTGTGGTCAAAATATTGACTTGATAAATCCCAGTGTGTGGGCAAAATGTTGACTTGATAAATCCCAGTGTGTGGTCAAAATATTGACTTGATAAATCCCAGTGTGTGGTCAAAATGTTGACTTGATAAATCCCAGTGTGTGGTCAAAATATTGACTTGATAAATCCCAGTGTGTGGTCAAAATGTTGACTTGATAAATCCCAGTGTGTGGTCAAAATATTGACTTGATAAATCCCAGTGTGTGGTCAAAATATTGACTTGATAAATCCCAGTGTGTGGTCAAAATGTTGACTTGATAAATCCCAGTGTGTGGTCAAAATATTGACTTGATAAATCCCAGTGTGTGGTCAAAATATTGACTTGATAAATCCCAGTGTGTGGTCAAAATGTTGACTTGATAAATCCCAGTGTGTGGTCAAAATATTGACTTGATAAATCCCAGTGTGTGGTCAAAATATTGACTTGATAAATCCCAGTGTGTGGTCAAAATGTTGACTTGATAAATCCCAGTGTGTGGTCAAAATATTGACTTGATAAATCCCAGTGTGTGGTCAAAATGTTGACTTGATAAATCCCAGTGTGTGGTCAAAATATCAATACTAGATGGCATTACATTGCATTTGTTTTTTCCTTTTTCTTTCGCTATTAGGAGGAAAAGTAAATACGCTTCATTTAATGCATGATTACAAGTAGTGTCCCACAGCACAGTGTCGTCATCCACCATCACAAACAAGCACTTGTTACTGTATTTTCCCACATATAAGGAGCACGATTATATGAGAAATGCAAGTGGATGCTTCCAAGCGGTTGTAAAGTAATATTAGTAAACAACTGCGGAAGTGTAACCCACAGGCTACCCTTGGCCCTCACCTTCAGCAAGTAAGACATAGGCTGATTTTCCAGGACTTTTTGTGGGAAAAAGGACGCATTCTATGCAGGAAAACACGGTCGAGAAATTCGTCAACGCTTCGGCAGAAGTTCTCTCCCAGAGTTCATTTGCAAATTCAACCACATGATATATTCTGCCGAATTACATTTTCTTCAGGTTCTGTGAAATGTGGATCAGTTTTCTGAATCAAGAAAGATGATTTCTTCAATACGTATAGACCGCTCTTCCAGAGACGGTAAAAGGCGAAATATGTAGAATGTTCCCAGAGCATTATAACAAATTTATTTTTTATAACTGCTAATATAAATGTTTTATAAAATATGACACATGTGAGGTACACTGGACCATCAGTAACTTATTTATATACATTAAGGGGGTGAGGAAGATTTATATACAATGGGTGGGGAAGGAGGGGAATGGGGGAGGAGTTGTACCAGTCACAGTGGTAAATACCTCAGTTATTACACCTTTCAAAAATAGTCCACCTACTTGGCAACACTAATGTATGTACACAAACGAGGCTAAGAGGAAGTTCGAAGAGTGGCAGGTTAAGAGGCACGGCCACGATCTGAGTTGACCCCTACAACCACAAATACACGTTAGGTATAAGGATACAAGTGCAACTAATGCCACATTTTACTGCGGCAACATTTCACTCTCCAGGAGCTTTGTCAAGCCATAACGGTTTAACAAAGCTCCTGGAGAGAAATGCTGCCACAATAAATTATCCCATTAGTTGCACTTATGCCCTTTTACCTAACATATTGTCGGTAATTCTACCAACATTAATACAGCCACAAATACAGGAGAGTGAAACTTATGATGACGTTTTGGTACGATTTAGACCATCAACTAGTTACAAGTGGGAGTGAAACGTTGCCATAAGCATCACTGTCTTATGTGCGGGTTACTTGCATATTATTCCAGTCACAGCAGTGTGCCTTTATATTCTTCACAACCACAAAGAGGTGAGTACACACACACACACACACTTCCTCAGAGTAGTGTTACATATGACTGATATATCGCATATAAGTGTTTTTACCTCTCTACTATATTTTTCCTGTTGTAATTTGGTGAACAAGACACAGATGCAACACCCAAGTATCTTTACTGCTAACACATTCTGCCTGCACAGCAGACGTATTAACCCTCTAACTGTCCAAACATAGATCTATGTTTGCTCGTGAAGCGCTCCAAACGTAGATCCACATTTTCTTTACATTCTTTCTTAGGGAGAAAATCAACGTCGGAGCACTACGCGCGCAAACGTAGATCTATGTTTGGACAGTTTAAGGGTTAAGTCAAATACAGAGGCAACTTATACTGAAGCCAGTGGAAGAAAGGGAGAAGCAGAGAACAGAAAGTCACAATACCGTGACTGGAACAATACACAACCTGCACGTAGGGGCACGCAATTTGTGATGACATTTTGGTCCAACTTGAACCATTAACTAGTTTGCATTGCTAGCGCTCTGAACATAGATCAATATTTGCACTGCTAGCGCTCCGAACATAGATCTATGTTTGCACTGCCAGCCATATCTACATTTTTTTTTAACGAATCGGCCGTATCCCACCAAGGTACGGTAACCTAAAAATAAAAAAAACAAAAGTTTTTCTTTTTAAATCTGGTTAGGTTAGGTTAGGTAAGGTTCGTCAGGAAACAGGACAAATGTTTCCTGACGCGGGTCTTAGTCAGATGATGACCCGCCTTTGGAGCTTTTGGTCATCTGACCGAGGCCTTCCGCTGGCTTACCGGTCCACCCCTTTAAAAATTATGGTCATTTATAACCAATTTTTTTTTTTATATATTGGATTTTTTAAATCTGGTAATTTATACAGGAGTTACTAGCATCTTGTTCCTGGCATTTTAGTCGCTTCTTACGACACGCGTGACTTATGGAAGAAGAATTCTTTTCCGCTTCCCCACAGAGTATCTACATTTATCTTTTACCTTATATTTTAGAAATAAAGATATCTGAGTATTGCATCTGAGTCTTATTCATCTTACTGATGTTTTTCAAAACTAATTGGTGGTTCATTTTATAAGCTACTGAGACTTAATATTAAAGATAATTATTAACCCGTTAATTGTCCAAATGTAGATCTATGTTCACTCATGTAGCGCTCCGAACGAAGATCTACGTTCACTCGTGTAGCGCTCCGAACGTAGATCTACGTTCACTCGTGTAGCGCTCCGAACGTAGGTCTACGTTCACTCGTGTAGCGCTCCGAACGTAGATCTACGTTCACTCGTGTAGCGCTCCGAACATAGGTCTACGTTCACTCGTGTAGCGCTCCGAACATAGATCTACGTTCACTCATGTAGCGTTCCGAACATAGATCTACGTTCACTCGTGTAGCGCTCCGAACGTAGATCTACGTTCACTCGTGTAGCGCTTCGAACGTAGATCTACATTTTTTTAACATGCTTTCTTATGGAGAAAATCAAGGTCGGAGTGCTACGTGTGAAACTGTATATCTACGTTTGGACAGTTAGCGGGTTAACAGATCACCCAGGCTGTGATGGATATATGGGACAGTGGACCACCAGCAGCAACAGCCTGGTTGACCAGGGTAGCACCAGACCAGCCTGACCCATGGCCAGACCCTGAGAGTAGAAGAACTCTCTAAACTCATCAACGGAATTAAAGACTTAAATATCATAAGTTAACAAAATAGAAAAAATTAAAGTCGCAAGTGCAACTGTCTCAGTGTTATTTATGTTAAAGTTATGAATTTAACATAAAAATAACATTCGTTAAATCAATTGGTGAGTTATTTTTGACACAGTAAATTTCACCACACAAATTTTTTTAGCATACAGTCCATTTAAACATGTACCAAAAAATTCTTTTAAATATACAGTGGACCCCCGCATAACGATCACCTCCGAATGCGACCAATTATGTAAGTGTATTTATGTAAGTGCGTTTGTACGTGTATGTTTGGGGGTCTGAAATGGACTAATCTACTTCACAATATTTCTTATGGGAACAAATTCGGTCAGTACTGGCACCTGAACATACTTCTGGAGTGAAAAAATATTGTTAACCGGGGGTCCACTGTACTCTGAAGTTTAAAATATTGAAGAGAATAAAACTGAGTATACCTGGAGAGAGTATAACACAACATATACAAATAAATAACAAATAATGTTATTTATAATACTTACAAGATTTAAATGACTTTAAACAGGTGTTGCTCAGCGTTTTGCGTAACATTTGTTTTGGCTTTTATTATTATTATTATTATTATTATTTTTTTTTTTTAAGTCGGCCAATCTCTCTGAGACTTGTGTCGTGTGATACATACAGTAAGGCCGTAAGTTCTTTCAAAAGTACTGTTAAATCATTAGACAGAGTCAAAGGCTAAATATATTCACAGTAACATTTTGTGAAGGGTTAAGGACAACTGGTCAACTGGACTTGAGTCCTGGAAGTGGGAAGTACAGTGCCTGCACTCTGAAGGATGAGTGAGAATGTTACAGTGCTGGAGGTGGGAAGTACAGTACCTGTACTCTGAAGGATGAGTGAGGATGTTACAGTACTGGAGGTGGGAAGTACAGTGCCTGCACTCTGAAGGATGAGTGAGAATGTTACAGTGCTGGAGGTGGGAAGTACAGTACCTGTACTCTGAAGGATGAGTGAGGATGTTACAGTACTGGAGGTGGGAAGTACAGTACCTGCACTCTGAAGGATGAGTGAGAATGTTACAGTACTGGAGGTGGGAAGTACAGTGCCTGCACTCTGAAGGATGAGTGAGAATGTTACAGTACTGGAGGTGGGAAGTACAGTGCCTGCACTCTGAAGGATGAGTGAGAATGTTACAGTGCTGGAGGTGGGAAGTACAGTACCTGTACTCTGAAGGATGAGTGAGAATGTTACAGTACTGAATGTGGGAAATACAGTGCCTGTACTCTGAAGGTTGAGTGAGGATGTTACAGTTCTGGAGGTGAGAAGTACAATACCTGTACTCTGAAGGATCAGTGAGAATGTTATAGTACTGAAAGTGGGAAGTACAGTGCCTGTACTCTGAAGGATCAGTGAGGATGTTACAGTACTGAATGTGGGAAATACAGTGCCTGTACTCTGAAGGATGAGTGAGGATGTTACAGTACTGAATGTGGGAAGTACAGTGCCTGTACTCTGAAGGATGAGTGAGGATGTTACAGTACTGAATGCGGGAAATACAGTGCCTGTACTCTGAAGGATGAGTGAGGATGTTACAGTACTGGAGGTGGGAAGTACAGTGCCTGTACTTTGAAGGATGAATGAGGAAATTATCTGAAGTGGCATCTGAACTGTAGTATCAGATTACCTCTGGCACGACAGTGGTGTAGTAAATGATGGTGAAAGTGTTTCTTTTTTGGTTCACGCTGCCTCGGTGGGCGACAGCCAGTGTGTTAAAAAGAAAAAAACTCATCTGGCAAGACAATGGCAATGCATGGTGACCTCTTCAAACATTATCTTCATAAATAAAAAACATAACCGCAACACTAACACTCTAGAGACACTCTAGCCTTTGATTATATTAGTTAACCCTTAAACTGTCCAAACGTAGATCTACATTCCTGTGCGCAACGATCCGAACGTAAATTTACGTTTTTGTTTTTTACATGCTTTCAAATGTAAAAAAAATAAGGTCGAAGTGCTACGCACGTGAACGTAGATCTACGTTTGGACAGTTTAATTGTTAAAAACAACTCCTTTCTATTAGCACAAAAGTGCCTTACAGTGATACAATATTGTACTTAATATCTATGTCTTAGAAGTACTTTAACAACGTGTGTGTGTCTACAGTCAACTCTATTATATAGCGCCTCTATATAATGTGATTTGTTTGTGACTAAATAGGTGCAGACAAAATTAAATAGCATCAACTATGTAGATGAATGTTACTAAAAAGCTGCAGACAAGAATGAACAGCATTTATGATGCCCTTTCAATGTCCTATTCAATTTTTGATGTATTTTTTCAACTGCATTCATAAAAAACAATCACACTATATACAGGAGCCATATAACAGAGTTGACTGTATCTTACAATATCAACTGCCAATCAGAGTCAAATACAGAACCTTCCTTAGGAATTCCCAGAGAAATGAGAATCAGTAAATATAAATTTTGGTTAAAGTTAGTTAGAAAACCCTGCATAGAGTTGACATCAATATTTTTACACTGTACACTATGTTGTAGACCTTGCCGGAACCTAATGCCATTGTTACACCCAGTGCTATGACTGTTACACCCAATGCTATGACAGTTATGCAAAATGGTATGACTGTTACAACCAATGCTATGACAGTTACGCAAAATGCTATGACTGTTACAACCAATACTATGACTGTTATACCCAATGCTACGACTGTTACACCCTATGCTACGACTGTCACCTCTGCTTCAGGTCGAAGATCTCAATTAGAAGTGGTTCGACTTCCTGTGGGTTCACCTCCAGGAAGACCCTGATGTGGTTCTCACTGAGAATGTGAAGGTGGGTGACGCGTTCTAGCAGCCGGTGGTACACCGTGCGACCCTCGCACCCTCCATACTTGCACTCCAGATAACGCTTCAGTAGATACAAGTACGAACACTAAAGATAAAGAGGGAGAAAGGTGTCATGAGTAACAAAGAAACTACAATAACACTGCTGGAACATTTCATAACCCACTAACTGGATATAAAGTTTAAGGAAATAATAATAATAATAATACAGTGGAACCTCAAATATCGAACTTTCTTCGGTCCAGAAGGCTGTTCGAGTGCCTTTACCGAATGAATTTATTCCCGTCAGGAATAATGTAAATTAGATTAGTCCATTTCAGACCCTCAAAAATACACTTATAAAAGCACTTACAAAAATACACTTACATAATTGGTTGTGTTGGGAGCAGTTCGGTTTTTGAGGTTCCACTGTAATAATTAGAATAATACTTCTCCATGGGAAAGTGGAGAAGAATCCTTCCCCCGTAAATCATGTGTCATAAAAGGTGACTAAAGTGCCGGAAGCAAGGTGTTAGTAACCCCTTCTTCTGTATAAATTACTAAATGCAAAAAAGAAAAACTTTTGTTTTTTGTATTTAGGTCACCCTGCCTTGGTGGGATATGGCCAGTTCATTAAAAAACAAAAGAAGTGAATGCTAGGGTGTTGGGAGAAGTGTTGGATTAATTTATGTGGAACTTTACCCATGTATTAAAACCCTCATAGTGGTCACAGTAAGCAGTTTGATTTTACTGCCTTGGTGGGAATCGGCCGATGCGTTAATAAAATAATAAAATATAAATGCTTGTGTTCCGCCATGCTCACAAGATATGAGCCAGTGACTCGAAGTCGCTCAAAATCACAGCTTTAGTGTAAATAAATTGATAAAATATTCACATATTATTTCCAACCAAGAATGTGACGCAAAGACGAAAATGCATTTACCATCATTTACTCTCTAGCTGTCTTAGCAGAAGTACAAAGGCATCACAAACACTAATGATCCACTAAACTGTATCATCCTCATAACAACCACAAAGTAAGAGCGGTGTACTATCCACCACAACATGACAATGGTTAACTGGTTTCCTTAACCCTTAAACTGTCCAAATGTAGATCTATGTTTGTACTGCTAGTGCTCTATATGTAGATCTACATTTGTACTGCTAGTGCTCTATATGTAGATCTACATTTGTACTGCTAGTGCTCTATATGTAGATCTACATTTGTACTGCTAGTGCTCTATATGTAGATCTATGTTTGTACTGCTAGTGCTCTATACATAGATCTACATTTGGACAGTTTAAGGGTTAAATCCCTTAATAAATATTACTGTGTTAACACTTTGACAAAACCTCATATTAGAGACCCACTGTCTGCACTTCCCTCTAACACACTGTCTGCACTTCCCTCTAACACACTGTCTGCACTTCCCTCTAACACACTGTCTGCACTTCCCTCTAACACACTCGTACTTCAAAAGAACCTCATAGGCATGATACACGTTCAAGTCATTATCTTCTTCCAACAAACCGGCCGTATCCCACCAAGGTGGGGTGGCCCAAAAAGAAAAATGAAAGTTTCTCCTTTTACATTTAGTAATATATACAGGAGGAGGGCTTACTAGCCCCTTGCTCCCGGCATTTTAGTTGCCTCTTACAACAAGCATGGCTTACAGAGGAAGAATTCTGTTCCACTTCCCCATAGAGATAAGAGGAAATAAACAAGAACAAGAACTAGAAAGAAAATAGAAGAATACCTAGAGGGGTGTGTATATACAGTATATGCTTGTACATGTATGTGTAGTGTGACCTAAGTGCAAGTAGAAGTAACAAGACATACCTGAAATCTTGCATGTTTATGAGACAGACAATGTTGCAACAAGGAGAAGGCTGGAGGCAGTGGTACCAAGACTGTTATATGGGTGTGAAGCATGGGTGGTGAATGTTGCAACAAGGAGAAGGCTGGAGACAGGTGTCTAAGGAAAACGTGTGTGTGGGAATATTATGCAGTGTGTCTGTAGCTTGGAAATTAGAAGGAGGTGGGGGGTTTCTTAAAGTATTATCCAGAGAGCAGAGGAAGGGACGTTGAGGTGGTCCGGACACTTAGAGAGGATGGAACAAAATAGGTTGACTTGGAGGGAGCACAAATCTGTAGTGGAAGGAAGACGAGGTATGAGTTGCCCTAGGAAAGGTTGGAGGGAGTAATTGAGATTTTGTGTGCAAGGGACTTAGACCTCAAGTGACTGTGAGAGTGTTAGACAAGAGTGAGTGGAGGCAAATAGTTTTTATGACTTGACATGCTGTTGGAGTGTGAGTAAGGTAACATTTACTAAAGGATTCATGGAAACTGGAGCTGTGACTTGACCCCTGCAACCACAAATAGGTGAGTGCACCTCTGACAACACAGTGATGTACGAGTAATAATGAAAGTGTTATTTTCTTTTTCAGGTTACTCTGCCTTCATGAGAGATGACTGGTGCATCAAAAAAATAATAAGACAGGATTTAATAATTCCTGAGTGCCTGATTTTTCAAGAAATACACAAGTGTTCGCATACCAAACCATAAATGCAACAACTACGAAACTATGACTAAAGTCAAACTCAAGAGTGACAATATGATCATTAAGAGTTCCATACTAAGATCAAATATCTAAGATCAAATATCTAAGATCAAATATCTAAGATCAAATATCTAAGATCAAATATCTAAGATCAAATATCTAAGATCAAATATCTAAGATCAAATATCTAAGATCAAATATCTAAGATCAAATATCTAAGCTCAAATATCTAAGATCAAATATCTAAGATCAAATATCTAAGATCAAATATCTAAGATCAAATATCTAAGATCAAATATCTAAGATCAAATATCTAAGCTCAAATATCTAAGATCAAATATCTAAGCTCAAATATCTAAGCTCTAAGATATTCAAAGCATAATGTCCTCATGTACAGCATTATAACATAAAGAAATGAGAATTTATAACCTTACAACCAATAACAAACTTGCTTTTACGATATGTTATTCTTGTGGTCATGAACGTGAGTAAGAACCATAACTCAAGGGTGTTAGGTATTATAATTTAAATTTAGGTGCTAAACCTGATTATCCAAGAGTAGATATAATTTACCAACACTTAGGATAGTAGACTGATTATCCAAGTATATAGATACTAGCACCTAGGATAGCAGACAGATTATCCAAGAGTAGAAATAGATTACTAGCACTAGAATAGTAGACTGATTCACAACAATCTAGAAGAAGAATATAGATGATGTTTCAATTGGTACAGGATCACTGTCAAAACAGAAGTAGCGTCATAATGTTTTTAATGGACCGAAACTTAAGAGGAGTTTTATACGAGGGTTTTGAGGTAGTCTGCTCGTCAGTCCTGAGTGTTTTTAGTACAGGTCAGCCACCACCAATCTGGCAATCAGTTATCCGGTTACATCAGTAATCCGGCACTAATTTCAGCTAGCATAATTTCAAATTTCATCATTATACTGACTCAGAAGTTATGCAGATGGCCGTAAATCTACAGCAGCAGAAAAGTGGAAGAGAAAGCAGTGGTGAAAATGAAGATGTAACAGAAAGAATCTCTATTGATAGGTTAATTAAGTGTACTCTAACCGAACCACTCTGTAATCCGGCAGACTCACTAATCTGGCACACTGCAGGTCCCAATGATGCCGGATTAGTGATGGCTGACCTGTAGTTTTAAGGTGATCAGTCTTTCAGTTTTGAATGTTATTATTTGTAGTTTTGAGGTGGTTAGTCTCTCCACTACAGTGTGATTTTTTCGAATGTGATTGAAAAAACACATCTAAAAAATAAATAGCACATACTATAAATACCTTTCCTCACGTTATTCCATTCTGGATTAAGTTTTCAAATGTACTTACAAAAAACTGCACTATAAATGAAGAAGAGTTTTACAAGACAGACGAATGTATTACAAAATTTATAGATTTCAAATTCAGTGAATCTAGGAACATAACCCCACAAATTTAGGAGCAAATTATGCAAATAAAACACTACAGAAAAAGGCAACATACTTACTCGTGTCTGAAGGCATCACTGGGCAATGACTCACGAAATCATAATGACACGATTGCAAAGAAACCATACCACGGGTGAGGTTTGAACTCGCAGTCATAGAGTCTCAAAACTCCAATAATATGCAATATATTTGGTCATTCTTACCACTACAAAATTCATAAATTTCTAATTCGTGGAGTGTTTAAGAACATAACCCCGTAAATTTTCACACAAGCTGTGCAAATAAGTACAGTGGAACCTCGGTTTATGTATGCCCTAGCTGGATAAAATTCTCAGAGAAAATTCTCTATAAAATGTATTTTTTTGTAAATATTTTTGGGTGTGTGGAATGGATTAATTGGTTCTGTTCCGGACACCCAAAATTTTTTTTTTTTTTATTATTATCACACTGGCCGATTCCCACCAAGGCAGGGTGGCCCGAAAAAGAAAAACTTTCACCATCATTCACTCCATCACTGTCTTGCCAGAAGGGTGCTTTACACTACAGTTTTTAAACTGCAACATTAACACCCCTCCTTCAGAGTGCAGGCACTGTACTTCCCATCTCCAGGACTCAAGTCCGGCCTGCCGGTTTCCCTGAACCCCTTCATAAATGTTATTTTGCTCACACTCCAACAGCACGTCAAGTATTAAAAACCATTTGTCTCCATTCACTCCTATCAAACACGCTCATGCATACCTGCTGGAAGTCCAAGCCCCTCGCACACAAAACCTCCTTTACCCCCTCTCTCCAACCTTTCCTAGGCCGACCCCTACCCCGCCTTCCTTCCACTACAGACTGATACACTCTTGAAGTCATTCTGTTTCGCTCCATTCTCTCTACATGTCCGAACCACCTCAACAACCCTTCCTCAGCCCTCTGGACAACAGTTTTGGTAATCCCGCACCTCCTCCTAACTTCCAAACTATGAATTCTCTGCATTATATTCACACCACACATTGCCCTCAGACATGACATCTCCACTGCCTCCAGCCTTCTCCTCGCTGCAACATTCATCACCCATGCTTCACACCCATATAAGAGCGTTGGTAAAACTATACTCTCATACATTCCCCTCTTTGCCTCCAAGGACAAAGTTCTTTGTCTCCACAGACTCCTAAGTGCACCACTCACTCTTTTTCCCTCATCAATTCTATGATTCACCTCATCTTTCATAGACCCATCCGCTGACACGTCCACTCCCAAATATCTGAATACATTCACCTCCTCCATACTCTCTCCCTCCAATCTGATATTCAATCTTTCATCACCTAATCTTTTTGTTATCCTCATAACCTTACTCTTTCCTGTATTCACCTTTAATACATTTTATAGACCTAGGTAGTGAGTTGGTAGACAGCAACCGCCCAGGGAGGTACGACCGTCCTGCCAAGTGTGTGTACAACGGAAGCCTGTAATTGTTTTACATGATGGTAGGATTGCTGGTGTCTTTTTGTCTGTCTCATAAACATGGAAGATTTAAGGTACGTCTTGCTACTTCTACTTACACTTAGGTCACACTACACATACATGTACAAGCATATATATACACACCCCTCTGGGTTTTCTTCTATTTTCTTTCTAGTTTTTGTTCTTGTTTATTTCCTCTTATCTCAATGGGGAAGTGGAACAGAATTCTTCCTCCGTAAGCCATGCGTGTTGTAAGAGGCGACTAAAATGCTGGGAGCAAGGGGCTAGTAACTCCTTCTCCCGTATAAATTACTAAATTTAAAAAAAGAAACTTTCGTTTTTCTTTTTGGGCCACCCTGCCTTGGTGGGATACGGCCGGTTTGTTGAAAAAAAAAAAAAACATTTTATAGACACTTTTCTCCAACTAGGGCATATATCCACAGGGCATACGTTCTAAGACCTACCACGGACAGTAGTGAACCTTATATATGTATTTAAACTTTTTTGTTTACATACATACCTATGATAAAGTTTAATTGATAAATTATGCACTATAAGTCAAGAATTAGCACTTTTTTCACTGACGGGATGCACTTCACAGCCACTCTTAGGCTTTGAAGAACTGTCACCATCATTACTTTTGCACTCTGGTGTCATTATTGAGCAAAATTAAGGATTATTTTCAAGCCAGCATAGCTGGCGGATAACTGAAACCTCAGAAACTGAACCCGTGGATACGGCAGTCCTACTTTACGTACCAAAGAAAAAGGAGACTACAGTAAGTCCTCGACTTAAAAACACATTGGGGACCTTCTGTACTGTGTATAACAATATTATACACAATCATACCATACACAATACAGAAGATTCTGAATGTGTCTGTAAGTTGAGGTCTTACTGTACCTAAGAAAAAGGGTGACAAACCTGTTCATGTCTGATGGCATCAGCATGCAAGATGTTGGGTCGTTCAGGGCTGAAGAGGGTGATGGCCGAGAGCAGGAAGATAATGTTGTGGTCCCTACGCCACTCTGGTTGGAAGGCCAGGATGAAGCGCTTGTGTTCTTCGTACACGTTACCTGGGGCAGCCTTCAACACCTTCAGTTTGATATTTTTAAATCTATCATGATCTTGCTGGATCTGTAAATATGACTTTTTTAATTAATAAGAATAACAACAATATTAATTATAATAACAGTAATCCTAATAATTATAATTATAATCATAATAATGATTATTAAAAAAGTTACCTTAATTGAAGATACAGAAAAATTACAATTAGATATCAAAAAAATCTTCCACTGGACATAACAAAAGTACCATGATACAGTGGACCCCCCCCATACCATTGGCATCACATAACGTTAAATCTGCATACCGATACATTTTATCGCTAAGATTTTGCCTCTCATACCGCTAAAAAACCCGCTCAACGCTGTTCGTCCGAGACGCGTCTAATGTGCGGCCTGAGCCAGCCTCACATGTTCCGCCGGTGGCACTGTTTACAAGCCAGCCTCCGCGGTAACATCCAAGCATACAATCGAAACATTTCATATTATTACAGCGTTTTTGGTGATTTTATCTGCAAAATAAGTGACCATGGGCCCCAAGAAAGCTTCTAGTGCCAACCCTGTGGTAAAAAGGGTGAGAAATATTATCGAAATACTGTGGTACCATGGTCAACTGCTGATGCTGCTGCTGCTGTAGCACTGTCAGCTGCTGCTGCTGTAGCACCGTCAGCTGCTGCTGCTGCTGTACCACCGTCAGCTGCTGCTGCTGCTGTACCACCGTCAGCTGCTGCTGCTGCTGTACCACCGTCAGCTGCTGCTGTTGCTGTAGTACCGTCTGCTGCTGCTGTAGCACCGTCTGCTGCTGCTGCTGCTGTACCACTGTCAGCTGCTGCTGCTGCTGTAGTACCATCTGCTGCTGCTGTAGCACTGTCAGCTGCTGCTGTAGCACCGTTGTTGGTGTGGCTTATTGAGAATACCAAGAAACAATTAACCCCAGAGGGTTAGCCACCCAGGATAACCCAAAAAAGTCAGTGTCATCAAAGACTGTCTAACTTATTTCCATTGGGGTCCTTAATCTTGTCTCCCAGGATGCAACCCACACCAGTCGACTAACACCCAGGTGAACAGGGAAAAATGCCTGGAACTAGTGCTCATATTGGTGAATTTAAAGCCAGCAAAGGTTGGTTTGAGAGATTTAAGAATCGTAGTGGCACACACAGTGTGATAAGGCCTGTTCTGGAAGAAAATACCAAACAGGACCTACAGTACTCAGGAGGAAAAGGCACTCCCAGGACACAGTGTCTCATCAGTCATTGCTGCATCTTCAATAAAGGTAAGCGTCATTTATTCTTCATTTAGTAGACTAGTACATGCACAATATATATTGTGCATGTACTACTCTACTATTGTGCATGTATCCTCCTCTTTGTGTGTAGGAAAATGTATATTTCATGTGGTAAAATTTTTTTTTTCATACTTTTGGGTGTCTTGCACGGATTAATTTGATTTCCATTATTTCTTATGGGGAAAATTCATTCGCATAACGATAATTTCACATAACAATGAGCTCTCAGGAACGGATTAATATCGTTATGCGGGGGTCCACTGTATTCAATTATGGTCAATTTTAGTTGCTTGGTGAGGGAAGAACGAAGAACTCAAAGAAGAACACAGAACACACGACTCTGACACAACTATCCCATAGAACACAGGAAACAGGGCAAATCTGACTTGGCAATAATAACATCGAATGATGTGTCAATTTAAATACATAATATTAACCCTTTCAGTCACTTGACCCCAGAAATTAAAAGTGCCAACAGTGTCACGATTTTCAAAAAAAAAAAATAAATAAATAAAATGATCTAAAATGGTACAGAATTTTTTTCTGAAACAACTGACAACAAAAACAAAATTTGATGGAAAACTTAGAGAAATACTCAATCGCAACATAGGCGATCTGGTGAGTTGTCCAAATAACCCACACATAGAAAAGAGGACCTTACGATGACATCATAGTAAGCTCTTCTCTTCTACGTGCGGGTTATTTGTGTATTGTTCCAGTCACGGTATTGTGACTGAATTGAATAAAGCGTATTATGAAACTCCTTCCGTATGCTATTCAATTTTGGATATTATTTTTCAATTGTTTATAAAAAGAGTGTACTGTAGAGAGGAACTTATAAGAGAGTCTACTATGAAAAATTATCTTCTGCAAAGGGCTTGATGATCCTTATGGCTACCAGCATATGGTAATGTCTGGGGGGAGTGTCACTGTGGGGCCAGGAGCTGTGACATGACCCCTGCAACCACAATGCATGCACACACACACACATGGCTTTTAATATTATGGGTTTATCTGGAGTATTACTGATAAGAAAGATGCCACTCTAACCCTTCAGCCCATTCCATAATCAGCTTTCCTAGTGGATCAGGGCCTGATCAACCAGCCTCATACTACTGGCCACATGCACTCTAATATACTAAAGACAGCCTCGCTGATTGGAAATTGACTTTAGGAACCCATCTATTTCCCTCTTGAAGACAGCCAGGGTCTATCAGTAATCCCCCTTATGTATAATGGGAGAATGTTGAATAGTCTTGGGCCCCTTACACTTACTGTGTTGTTTCTGAAGTTTCATAGTTAGTAATTTCATCTATACAGGAAAGCCCCGGTTATACAGCAGGTTAGGTTCCAGGCTACTGCTGTACAGGAGGGCCCTGCTTATACCAGGCTATTGCTGTACAGGAGGGCCCTGCTTATACCAGGCTATTGCTGTACAGGAGGGCCCTGCTTATACCAGGCTATTGCTGTACAGGAGGGCCCTGCTTATACCAGGCTATTGCTGTACAGGAGGGCCCTGCTTATACCAGGCTACTGCTGTACAGGAGGGCCCTGCTTATACCAGGCTATTGCTGTACAGGAGGGCCCTGCTTATACCAGGCTATTGCTGTACAGGAGGACCCTGCTTATACCAGGCTATTGCTGTACAGGAGGACCCTGCTTATACCAGGCCACTGCTGTACAGGAGGGCCCTGCTTATACCAGGCTATTGCTGTACAGGAGGGCCCTGCTTATACCAGGCTATTGCTGTACAGGAGGACCCTGCTTATACCAGGCCACTGCTGTACAGGAGGACCCTGCTTATACCAGGCTATTGCTGTACAGGAGGGCCCTGCTTATACCAGGCTATTGCTGTACAGGAGGACCCTGCTTATACCAGGCTATTGCTGTACAGGAGGACCCTGCTTATACCAGGCTATTGCTGTACAGGAGGACCCTGCTTATACCAGGCTATTGCTGTACAGGAGGACCCTGCTTATACCAGGCTATTGCTGTACAGGAGGGCCCTGCTTATACCAGGCCACTGCTGTACAGGAGGACCCTGCTTATACCAGGCTATTGCTGTACAGGAGGACCCTGCTTATACAGCAGGTTAGGTACAGTGGACCCTTGTCTAACGATAAATTTGCCCAATGAAGCGTTTGAGCGTAAAAATTTTGGCCCGGCCAACGATGAAAAACTCGACCAACGTGATTCGTCCCGAACCTGTCTGTCCAGCCTGAGCGCCTCAGCTGCCCTGCCATCATTGTTTACAAGCCAGGGTGGCCGGTTCCATGCATACATTCGATACATTTTGTATTATTCCATTGTGTTTAGTGCTTTCCACTGCTAAATAAGCCACCATGGGCCCAAAGAAAGCTTCTAGTGCCAACCCTGTGGTAAAAAGGGCGATAAATACTATCATACCATGGTCAGCTGCTGCTGCACCAGCGTCAGCTGTTGCTGCACCACCATCAGCGGTACTACTCGAAGATGTGGAGAGACTGTTGTTGGTGTGGCTTAACGAGAAACAATTACTGAGAAACAATTAACCCCAGAGGGTTAGCCACCCAGGATAACCCAAGAAAGTCAGTGTGTCATCGAGGACTGTCTAACTTATTTCCATTGGGGTCCTTAATCTTGTCCCCCAGGATGCGACCCACACCAGTCGACTAACACCCAGGTGAAGAGGAAAAAATGCCTGGAACTAGTGCTCATATTGGTGAATTTAAGGCCAGCAATGGTTGGTTTAAGAGATTTAACCCATTCAGGGTCGAGAGGCCCTCTCCTAAACTCGTTCTCAGGGTCAAAATTTTTTAGGAAAAAAAAAAAAAAAATTCTCATGAAATGACAGAGAATCTTTTCCCAATCATAATGAGACCAAAAGTATGAAATTTGATGGAAAACTTACGGAATTATGCTCTCGTGAAGTTAGCGGTCTCGACGATGTTTACGCATTGGTGATATCGCCCACTTTGAGCCCTATTTTCAGCCAATTCCAGTGCACTAGTCGACAAAAATCATATCTATTTCACTAGAATTCCATTTGTTTTTATCGAATGAGTACAAGAAACCACCCATTTACCGATTTCAACTATCCAATAAAGTGGTCAGAAATTGGCAATTTTGCCAATTTCACACAAATTTCAGAAGATGCCAATTTCCAAATAGGGTCCAGAATAAACAAGACAGACATTCTTGGCACTAAAATAACATTTTCTCTGTTCATTAGTCACATCCCCAGGCCCCTCTTACATCTCTTTTGCTTTCCACTTTGAATTTTTATTCTGTTATGCTGACTACTGCATTAGTGTAGAAATTGTATAAATAATATTGGCACACTTGTGAAAGAATATTAGACTCACCAGCTGATGTGTATTGGATGCTTGGCATTTGTTTACTTTTGAACTTGGTAAAAATTGAACATTTCTGCTAATTTGAGCTCAATTTCAAGGTACTTTTCATTATGAAACCAATCAAAATCATCTAAATTTCTGTAATATGTCTTCCACTCTATAAAATGAGACCAGGAAAACTAAAATACAACCATAAATACCATACGAAAATACACTGCAAAGTCGCTGTTTTAAACCAAAAACATGGTCGGAGTTTTTTTTCTCATTATGCACTGTGTGCTGCAGGATTTTTTTTACACTGTGCATACTGACCACATAGGCCCATTCTTTCATATGTAGGCCTACCAGCTTTCTCTCACTAGATATGAAGGTGCTAGAATTTAGGCGTACTAGTATGTCAATAACCCTGGTACGTAAGCCGTACTAGTACGTCAGAAACCCTGTAAGGGT